GGCTGGGGATTCGAACCCGCCACCTTAGGTGTATGTGGCTGGCGCCTTAGCCGCTTGAGCCACAGGCGCCGAGCCAGAAAAAATTCTTGATCTCAAGTGATCACCTTGCCTCAGCCTCCCCGAATAGCTGGGACTACAGGCACCTACCACAATATCCGGCTCTTTTCAAATTGGGATCTCATTCTTGCTTGGGCTGGTCTCAAATTCCTGAGTTCAGGTGATCTACCAGCTTGGCCTGCCAGACTAGGATTACAGGTGTAAGCCACCGCACCTGGTCTTTCCTTTTAAGTTTTTATGTCCTTACACTTTTGCCATCTCTTATGGAAGAGTATATTATTGGATTTTCTTTTTAATTCCATCAACCTATGTCTTTTAATTGGTTATGTTTAGATGTTCAAGTGTCTTGGTTCGTAGTCAACTTAGTTTTAATTTTAAACTATTTTTATTTTACCTTTATATCTGAGAGATTATTTTGATTGATATACAGTTCTAGGTTAGTTATCTCTTTTCTGTCAGCAGGGTAAAGATATTGTTCTGCTGTTACTGCCAGTTTTATTTATGCTGTTTTGAAACAAATATTCCTTTGTTGTGTTGGATTTTCTGTCTTTGGTGTTATGTCATTTCACTCCTAAGTTTTAATGGGGATTACTTTTTTTTCTTTTTGAGGCACAGTCTTACTTTGACACCCCTGGTAGAGTGCTGTGGTGTTATAGCTCATAGCAACCTCAAACTTTTGGGCTCAAGCAATTCTCTTGTCTCAGCCTCCCGAGTAGTTGGGACTATAAGCCCCCGCCACAATGCCTACCTATTTTTAGAGATGGGGTCTTGTTCTGGCTCAGGCTGGTCTCAAACTGGTGAGCTCAGGAGATCTGCCCACCTTGGCCTCCCAAGATGCTGGAATTACAGGTGTGAACCACTGCATCCAGCCAAGATTCCTTTTTTTGATCCTGTTTTGGATACATGTGTTTCTTGATTCTGAATTTTCTCTTATGAGGTCTAGAAGATTCTGAGCCCTGGATTCATTAATATTTTCTCTCGTGCTGGAATTTTTTTTTTTTTTTCCTTTTGGTTGGGGCTAGGTTTGAACCTGCCACCTCCAGCATATGGAGCTGGTGCCCTACCCTTTTGAGCCATAGGCGCCATCCTCCTGCTGGAATTTTAACTGAATATGCATGTATTAAACTGTTTCCAGATCACTCTTCATTTTTCATATTTTTCATCATCTTGTCTGTCTTTATCAGAATTTATAGTGCTGGATAATTTCATCAGTCATATCTTCTAGTTCACCAGTTTTCTCTTTAGCTGTGTCTAATCTCCTCTGTGACCCATCTTTTTTTTTTTTTTAATCTTTTAACAATTATGTTTTTAATTCTAAAAGTTTCACTTGGTTCTTAACATACCCAATTTTTTTTTATGGTCTCCTGGTTATGGCTATTTTGTAGACTCCATCAGGCAATCCCAATGTCTGATAATTTGGGGGAGAGGTTTTAAATTTATTGCTTATTTTTTCTGTTGCTTCTCCCTAATGGTGGCTGTCACCTCCTGTGCTTGTTGATAATTTATTATGAGCTATTTGATTAATCTATGTGGGAATATTGAGAAAGTAGTTTGGGCATGCTTTCTTTCGGAAAGCATTTGTATCAACTTTGGCTGGGAGCCAGGGAGTTTAACTGGGGCCACTTTTCAGTTTTCATATTTTGTTTCTGGCTCAGGGCTCAGTGTTCTGATTGCACTTTCACTCTTGGTACCAGTACTTGTATTCTTGACTGCCAGATTGAATTTCTAGTTCAATGTTTGTTGCTGTTAGTGGGAGAGGTTTGCTTTTAATGTTTCTCTAATTCTATGAGCACAGCAAAACCATCCAAACAGTATTTTTTTAAAGGCTAAGATCTGTTTTATTATTGTTATTTGTAATCGTAGAGTCCCCCAGGATAACTGGTTCACCAGAATTGAAGGGATTAAAAGTTTTTTATTTTATTTTATTTTATTGAATATATTAGGTGTTAATATTTGGCAGACAGATACAGCTTTCCCAAAGTAGCAGAGATTTTTGTGGCAGTCCATGGAACATCTAAAAGTTTTTTATTTTAATATTTAATTTTAGTATTGTATTTTCATTTGTATTAGAAAAAATTTCTGTCATACCAAATGTAGGATTTCTTGGTAATATTAAAATTTCTATTAAAGCTAGTTTATATCTAAATTAAAATCTGAGTTATTCTAGAAGAAATTATTAAATAAATAACAGTACAGGTGACAAATGTATTACACAGTACATCCTCTGGACCCACAGTGACCCCACAGAGATAAACCTGTGTTGATTGAAAAGTATATAAACTACTCTGAAAGATACAGGCAGGGTACAAGAAAAAGAGGTGTAGGAATAACTTGGTGGTAGTGGGAAGATCAGGAAGTGCTTCCTAGGATTGAGTGTGAAGGACTGATAGGCCTGAAGAGGTTGCAGAACAAGATTTGATTAGGAAGGTCAAGCAGTTGGGTTAGACTGGCTTATAGGTTGTGTGTCCTGGAGTGACTGGAGAGTAAAACAAGAATAGCATCACAAAAGGCTTTTGATGCTTATGGTAGGGAGGTTGGACTTTATCTGAAGATGAAGGGAAGCTATTGAACAGTTTAAGCAGTAAAATGGAATGATCAGAGTTTTAGAGGATGCCTGACCAGTTAGGACACTGGTTTATTAGTTAGTTCAGAGGAAAAGAGATGAAGGTACAACTAAGGCAAGTGACACTGGGCATCAAGAAGTATATGTGTGCTAATTTTAGATTTCTTAGCGAAGTGGAAATGATAGGACGCAGTGGTCAGTTGGCTAGAAATGTTGAAGTCTGGGGAGTTTAGATTGACTCCCAAATTTTTGGTTTGGGTAACTAGGTGCCATGTAGAGCAATTAACTAATTGAACAGTATACAGAAAGAGGAAAGAACTCAGTTTCATTTGTTTGCTTTTGAGGAAAAAGATAAGTTTGTATTTGAACTTACTAAATCTGAGGGGCTTGTGGGACATCTTGGTTAAGATCCAGTAGTAGATGACAGGGATGTTTTAGAAGTTAAGAGATGCAACCCAGCCTGGGGAGATTTGGGAGTCTTCAGCATTTGGAAGTTTGGAAGCCATTGTTTTCTATAGTGCAGTATGAGATAGATTAAAATGGCATATAGATAAGCACTTGAAAAAATTTTAATTTTTTAGGTAAGGATTTAATGTATATGAAAAACATAACTTGCACATCAAACCTATGATCTTATGGACATTATCACTTAGGCCAAGTGAGCTCAATAAAAGGAAAATTTTAAGTAAAAATACATGTAACATGTGGAAATGACAAAAATCATGGTGAAGCTATGCAAATGATGAAAGTTCAGAAAGTATTGTCTTAAGCCATGGGTATGGTGGATGAGGTCACTCAAGGAAAGAGTAAGAGTGAGAAGAAAAGAGAGTTGACATTTGGGTGGCGGGGAATGGAGAAGAAGAGCCCATGAAGGAGACTGAGGAAGAGCAGCCAGACGAATAGGAGGAGAACCAGGAGAAGATGGTCTTTGGAGTCCAAATGAAGAGTTCTGAGGAGGAAGTGGTCCACAGCGTCAAGTAAGTTGTAAGCTGAAAAGTGCTCTTTGGATTTAGCAGTTAAGGTAGACAACGTAGATGGAAACACCAAACGGGATTTTTACAAATACTCACCTAATATTAATGTTAATGGTGGCTAGTATTTGCAGCATATCCCATGTGCCCAGTACTCACTCTTGTAAGCACTTCACAGGTGTTAACTGATTAATCAGGTAGGAAGTATTGTTATTCCCATTTGATACGTGAGGAAACTGAAGCATAGAGAGGTTAAATAACTTGCACAAGATCACATGGGAGAGCCAAGATTCAAGCCCAGGCAATCTTGGCTCAAGTCCATTCTCTTAACCAAATTGCCACCTTGCCTCTCTAGTTAAAACAAAATAGAAAATATAAATTACACCAGTGTCGTAATTACAGTACAATTGGTGTTGTGTGTGGTATCAGTGAGATCTGCCAGGCTTGAATGACCAGCATCATACCACGGTGGCTCGGTCTGCTAGGTATGAGCACATTAATTGTATTGTAATTGACGCCATGATGTGTAGGCAGAGACAGTTCTTGGCTCTTTCTGTATTTATATATCAAAAAAGTTTGTACGACAAGTGAGTTTAAGAGTGTGTATGTTTCCTAGCATAGCATATGTCCCACTTTATGTGCCATACTTTGGGTGCTTCAGTGTCTTATTTTTTCTGGTCATTGTTCACTTTTGGAGTTAAATTTTGTGAACTCTGGAAATATTGTTAACGCAGAACAAATCAGGTTGCAGACATAGGTAACCAGTCTATTGTAGGTGGTTGTTAATGGTCTTGCTGAAAGCAGTTTCCCTTGACTGATAGAAGTGGAAACCAGATTGTTGGAAACTGAAAGTGAGTGAGAACAGAGGATCCTTAGATGGGAGAAAAAGGAAGAAGTCTTGACAATATGGAGGAATGGCTGTGGTAGGAGCCAGGGAAGACATGAACCATATATGACTTGGCTTTGGTCAGAGAGGAGCTGATCAGAGTGAAAACTGGTGATCTGAGGTGTGGCCTTGGGGAGGAAGAGCATAGCGAGTTGGGCAGTGAAGTTCATGTTAGTGCAAGAGGTAAACTACAAGGCTAGGGTATTACCTGCTTAGGCCTTAATGTGGCTGGGATGATGATGGGATTTAGAGGAAAGAAGAGAACATTGTGAACTAGTTACCATTGTTCTGTTCTTGAAACATGACAGTAACTAAGCGTTAGGTAGGTAGGTGACAGTGATGGAAAAGTAGATGTAGTGAAATAGAATGTTTGAGAGAAGAGACTGTGGAATTGGAGGAGTTGGTTTGAATCCTTCTAGCTTGATGACCTTGAGCAAATTATTAAATTTTACTGAGAATGTTTTCCATCCATACAGTGGTGATGATGATAATTGGGCCTGCCACAAAGAATTGCTGTGAGGTTTAAAGAGATAATGAATGTGAAACATTTGGTACAGCATGTGACATACAGTACAAAGAGTTTGCTAAGAAGATTGTTACTGTTCTTCGCTTCTGATATTGTGAAGTTTTTATACCGCAAATTGGATGGATTGATTAAAGAATTAGATTTGTATTTCAAGGACTAATGGTGGTCTTGTTTGGAAAAAAGAAACCTGCTAGTCCTAGTAATGGGATATGGTGGTGAAGTGAAGAGATGTAAGGAATGCTGTTAATGATGAGAAGGTCATTACTTGGGCAAGAGATAGTAGTAACAAAAATGCTGTATTTTTCAGTGATGCTTAGATTTCTGATAGCTATAAAAATCATTATTATTGAATTTGCGCTTCAGGAAAAAAAATCCCTTAGTCTGCAACTTTAGCACTAATTACTCTTTCCTCCATTAAAATATTTGTAAAAAATGGCTTTTTATAATTTGAGGGTTTTTTCCTCTTTGCAATCTAACAGTGCTGTGTGTTGCAATAGTTGTGAGGGTGTTAGGAGCAGAAATTGTTAGGAGGATGGAAGGTCTGGACGAGGCATTGGGGACTTAGGAGGTTGGCAGACTCACCCCATACCACTCTAGCCTCACTCCTTTGCCCAAGGCAGAAACACACTGAAAGATAGTAGAATATGAGCAGCTGACAGGAAACAGTTTTCTTAGTTAAGGAGTTAAGGTTTAATTCAGGTCAATAGATTGAAAAATGTAGCAGAGTTTGAATATGATGAAGTGGCACGTTTCACAGAGCACAGGAGACATAGGTAGGGTATATCCCTAGCAGTGGGAAGATGTCTTTTCTTCAGCATGTGGGCTTACCATGTGCTAGGCACATACAAAAATAAGATGCCCTTAATTATCTTTCATCTAAGGTAGATATGTAAACAGATTAAGAGTAGAGCTGGTGAATATATGAACCTAAGGCAAGAAAGAAATAGGTGAAACTATTTGGAGAAAGTCAGGGAAAGAGGAACAGCAGAATGGGGATGATTATCTTCCAGAGCTCAGTGTTCTGATTGAAGTTATCTCCTTGGGGGCATAGGTTCCAAGTGTTTTTCTAATATGCCATAGAAGCTAGGAAAACTGCTTCTCAAATCATCTCATATGATTTAATTGCTGATTTGGGTTTGTGTTGTTTCCTTAGGATCGTGCACCATGGATGATTTTGTGGAGGGAGATTTCACTGTAGCAGATTATGCCTTGTTAGAAGATTGCCCTTATGTGGATGATTGTGTCTTTGCTCCTGAATTTATGACTGATGATTATGTTCGTGTGACTCAACTGTACTGTAATGGGGTGGTAAGTAGGTTTGTTATTTTTTGTTTTTGACATTGTATCTGTTTTTTTCTTTTCTGAAGCCATAGAACAGTAGTTTATTAGAAGATAGGAAAGCTTCCAACACAATGGAAATGGTACTGAATAGGTTGCCTGACATTGTCTTAAAGGTTTTCTGGTTTAGAACTTTCTTAATAAAGATGTTTTTGTGGCATGTTGGTTTTGACATGGAGGTACCCATGCTTTTGAAGAGGTAGTTTCACAAGGGAAAGTAAGCAGTGATGACAGTAAGAATGTGGATTGCCAGAGAACATGTGAGGGTACAAAGTGGTTTCTGACTGGAAATTAGAAAAGCTCTTAGGGACAGCCATAGAAACAAATTCAGGAAATTCTATGAAAAAGCCCTTAAGTTAAGACTCCTTTGCTAAGGATATATTCAAAGCATCTAAGTAAATGTGCACTCAAAGTTTTTAGTTTATTTCCAGTAATCTTTAGATTAAAAATCAAGAACTGAACTTTTGTATTTTACCTGATACAAATCAAAATAATTTTTTTCTCTTTAGGGTATGCAGTATAAAGACTATGCCCAAAGTCAGAGAAATTTTGGTGAGTACCTTGGTGTTTTAATGTCAGTTGATGGAAAGGCTATAAAAGAATGCCCATCCTTCTAGTCATGTCAACATAACATTTATATTATCATAAAGTTTGTATGCGATTTAAATTAGCGGTCTGGGGGCTGGGTGTGGTGGCTCACACCTATAATCCTAACACTCTTGGAGGCTTAGGCAGGTGGCTTGCTTCAGCTCAGGGGTTCCAAGATCAGCCGGAGCAAGAGGGATAGCCTGTCTCTAAAATTGTGGCAAGCACCTGTAGTCCCAGCTACTCAGTAGGCTGAGGCAAGATCACTTGAGCCCAAGAGTTTGAGGTTGCTGTGAGCTATGATGCCATAGCACTCTACCCAAGGCAACAAAGTAAAACTTAATCTCAAAAAAAAAAAAAAAAATGTCTATTTTAAATTGCACACAAACTTTATGGCCACTCTGTATGTCTTTTAAAAATGTAGTCTTATAGGTTGGGCATAGTGGCTCATGCCTGTAATCCTAGCATTCTGGGAGTCCGAGGAGGGTGGATTGCCTGAGTTTAGTAGTTTGAGACTAGCCTGAGCTGAAGCAAGTCTCTAAAAATAACCAGGCACTGTGGTGAGTGCCTATAGTTGTACCTACTCAGAAGGATCTGAGTAGCTCAGAATCACTTGAGCCCAAGAGTTTGATGTTGCTATGAGCTATGACACTACGGCACTCTACTAAGGGCCTCAAAGTGAGACTCTGTCTCAAAAAATAAATAAATAAATAAAAAATAGTCTTACTATTTTTTCACTAGAAATCAATTTTTTTTGTTAAAATAGAATTTTAGCTAATACTTAAATATTCTTTTTTTTTTTTTTGAGACAGAGTCTCACTATGTCACTCTCAGCAGAATGTTGTGACATCATGGCTCACAGCAACCTCAAACTCCTAGGCTTAAGTGATTCTCTTGCCTCAGCTTCCCAGGTAGCTGGGACTACAGGCACCTGCCATAACACCTGGCTTGTTTTTGGTTATAGTTGTTATTGTTGTTTGGCACACTCAGTCTGGATTCAAACTCGCCAGCTCTGGTGTATGTGGCTAGCACCCTAGCCACTTGAGCTATAGGCACTGAGCCTAATACTTAAATATTCTTAACATCAAACAAGTTAAAATATTTCTTCCATTTATTTCCTGTCTTTCCATATCCATTTTTACCTTTTATCTTTTTGCTAATAATAGTACTGATTCATTCCAAAATGAGGTACAGATAATAATTTTAAACTTTTTTTTAAATTAAGAATTTGACATCTGCAGTATATGGTGCAGTAAACCAATTTCTGTCTTACAAGATTATTGTGATGCCATTAAAATAAACATCTTCTGGCCACTTCTGTTTCAACATCAAAACAATTCTATAATATCACGATTGCATCCCTGTTTGGAAACCAAGTAAGTTGCTATATGTTACTCGTTTTGTATAAACATGATAAGCATGTTGCTCAGGTACTGAGAAATGCCAAGTGCAATGGAAGGCTTATTTCTCATTCTTGTTCTATTTTACTTTTGTTTGGTAGGAAAAAAAATACTTGGGATTTGCATATGAGTTAATAACTGTAATGTTACAATCAATGCAGTTGTGACTAGTATTAAATAGTAGACTTGAAGCTGAGTTAGGAAAAATTAATGTTTGTTTATAAATATTTAGTTACAGTACAGGAGAGAGCTTATTGTCCTAGAGTAAAGAAAAAGAAGACTTAGTTTTTTCCTGTAGTTTCTATATAACATATAGTTAAGCATAAAAGTCAATGAATTTGTACATATGAGAACCTAATCTTATAAATAATAAATTTGTCTTTAAGCAATTCTCGTGCTTCTGAGATAAGTTTGAAGAAATTACAACATCTTGAGTTGATGGAAGACATTGTGGATTTGGCAAAGAAAGTTGCTGTAAGTGGTAGAATGTAGGTTTTTTCCACCCCTATTTAAAGAATATAAATATTTATATGGTATTAGGTCTATATTACTAGGTTTATAGCAGTTAACCGGTAATGGTTTTGATTTTGGTTAACCTGAGTTGATTCTGCCATCCATGAGCTCAGTACTCGAGAGATAGGTGATGGCGACTGTTGTGGTTCTGGCATGCCGTGCTGGGAACCAGGACTGCTGCTTGTCATTAAAGGATAGGAGTTGGAATTTGTCACACATGAAAGTGGCCCCTGGTTCGTAGAAATCTTTGTCTCAGGTTCTGAAAGTGATGGGCTCTATCTTTTGACACAAAAACATGCCATCTCCATAAATATTTTGTTCTGGGGGTAGGGGTAGACTGTATCAGGGCAGATTTGAAGAGGTGTCCTTGTATTATGTTGAGAGCTTATTTTTGTTTTCTTTTTCTTTTTTTTTTTAAAGCCATTTGATAATTTTTCTTATTTCACTTGGTTATGGAGCTAGCTAGAATTGTTTTTGGTACTACTCTGAGTATAAACTAAAGTTTAGAAAGTACATTCTGATGTTTATTTCCTGCATATAATTCCTTGTAGTATACAAGCCAATGTTAATATTTATAAAAAAAAAATCTAGGTACAGTGAACCTTAAGAATCCACAGATCTAAAAGTTAACACTAAACATTTTACCACTAGAAATCTGTGGAAAACTATTTCTGAATTCTTGTTTTAGGTTATTTAGGATAAATTTGGTCATGTGCGTGTGGGAAGTGTACTGCTATGCACATATACTTGTATTCCTAAAATGCAGGATTTTTTTCCATTAGAAATTCAAGTATAATTGACTGAATAAGGGAAAATATGCTTTGTTCTTTTTTTATTTTTCAGAATGATTCATTCCTTATTGGAGGTTTATTGAGAATTGGTTATAAGATAGAAAATGTAAGTGTAAAACCCAGCACATCCACTGTGAATAAGTGACAGTTGTCACATTGTTAATTGCCCCATATATGGAATCCATACACTTACTGTGTTTTATGTAGTATTGGTAGTATTTATTTCTATATTTTCCTTATGCATTCCCCTCAGTTAGGGGGTTTGCATTATTTTCATTTCCCCCCCACGTGTGCTGTAATTTTGAGCCTCTTTTACAAGTTGATTCTTTCTTCTCTTTTAGATTATATACCTGGCTTATGTTTCCCCAAATGAAATTATTAGACCCTTGGTATGAATATTTTTGATATATAATTACCTCATAATCTCCAGATTTAATGATAAACCACATTTTAATGCTATTGGTGACATGAACATCTATCTATATGTTTCTCTTAAGCCTGATACCAACATTGTCTACACAACTATTTTATTTCTGAAGTCATTTCAGACATTAGAAGTACAAATAACATTTCTGTGAATTGTTGAACCTTAATAAAGATCATTGCACTGGGTGCCCATTTTGGCCAGCCACGTCCTCTTCTTAATCTCCTTATTCTTGTATTTGCTGTAGACCATGTAAAATGTGTAGTTCTTTTGATAAACCTAGATCTATATCTTTAATCTTGAGGTGAGGATGAAAGTCTTAGTTTAGATGAGCTCTGAGAACCTGTCCACTTTGTATTGTACTTGCTTGCCACCCCAGGCAGCCTCTGGTCAGGCTGTATACCTAACATTCCAAGTCTGTAATTGCTGTGGAAGCATTTCGAGTCCTGAGGCTAGCCTGAGGTCACCTAAAGATGTAACATATGTGAGTCCATGACATCTGTTAACTTACACCTCAGAGTCCAGCAGCTCTAGGTTGCATGCTGGAGTAGTGAAAATGTGAAGTTATAGAAATTTTGTACCAAAGGTCTCAAATACTTGTAGTCAGTAAAATACCAGTATTTTCAAGTATTTAATTACTCAGTAAATACTTGTATTTCAAAGTAAATTTGCTTAGAATTAACACCTAAATCCCATTCTTCATTCCTCTTTTAAAATAGAAAATCTTGGCAATGGAAGAAGCTTTGAACTGGATAAAATATGCAGGCGATGTAACAATTCTAACTAAATTAGGATCAGTTGATAATTGTTGGCCTATGTTAAGAGTTTTCTTTACTGAATGTAAGTACAAGTGCTTTAAATTATTACTTGACTCAATTTTTAAAGGTATTATTTGGGAAAAGGGAATGTGTAGTTATGTGGTTTCTGATTTATTTTAGGACTTAAAAAAGTAAGTTTTCTTGTTATTCATTCTTGAATAAGATAGCCTTAATTTAACCCAGTGGTTAATTTTATCCTGTATTTCCTATCTTAATTATTTTTATGACATACTTTAAAAAATTTTACCTATGGATGTCGTAGGGAGGCCACACTAGGGCTCGTATTTTGTTTCATAAGAAAAAGTACCAAAAGCTAAAATTGTGATTTTTTTTGCTATTTTATATCTGAGGAAACTACTTTACATGTGTCTTGTGAAATATTTTCCCGTAAAGCATGTGAATCTCAGCAGTGTTTTTGTAGTATAGTTATGGTAATCTTGAAACAAGAAGATATTTCTGGAGACAGGCTCGTGTTCTGTCACTCAGGCTGGAATGCAGTGGTTCACTTACAGCTTACTGCATCCTTGAATTTCTGGCCTCAAGTGATCCTCCTGCGTCAGCCTTCCAAGTAGCCGGGACTACAGACACCCTACCATACCCACTAATTTTTTTAAGTTATTTTAGAGATGAGGTCTGTTCAGGGGGGCCTAATGCAAACCCTTTTCCTTTCTCCTCCTCCTCCTGTTCTCCTAGGGCAAAGACACAAAGGATCTGGTTAGGTCCAAGTTCACATCAAAGGACCCTAACTTTTGGGGCAAGCTGTGGAATTTGCCCGCTCCCTACGGCCCCACATAAAAGGTGTCTCTAGGCTCCGCACCCATAGCACAGTGGTTACAGTGCCAGCCACATACACTGAGGCTGGCAGGTTCGAACCCAGCCCCCGGGCTAGCTAAACAACAGTAACAACTGCAACAAAAAAGAGCTGGGCATTGTGGCAAACACCTGTAGTCACAGCTACTTGGGAGGCTGAGGCAAGAGAATAGCTTAAGCCCAAGAGTTTGAGGTTGCTGTGAGCTGTGATGGCTACTGCACTCTACTGAGGGCAACATAGTGAGACTCTGTCTCAAAAAAATAAAATAAAATAAAAACAAAGAGGTCTCTAGCTGCCCCTAGGCAGATGCCACCTTTGCACTGTCCAGGCAGGTTGCTGTCCCTTTCAATAAATCTTGCCTGAATGTCTCCATTCCCCTGAAGTCTTGTCTCTGGGCGCCACTGCTTAACACCTTTCAAGGTCTTGCTTGCGGTGTTGCCCAGGCTGGTCTCAAACTTCTGGCCTCAAGTGATCCTCCTGCCTTTGGCCTCCTGAATAGCTGGGGTTACAGGTGTGCACCATTGTGCATGGTATTTTGCATTATTAACTTAAGTACTAGAGAAGGTTAAGCTTAAATGAAGATAAATCTTTCTGATACTGCAATGTACTACACTGGAATCTATCAGGCACTGGAATGTATTACACTGATTGAGGTTGTTCTCTTCACTTGGAGGCCTTTAATTATGGGCAATTTCATGGTAGAAGCAGAGAAGCACTGATAGGAATGCTGTTGTAGACTCATTTCTGATTCTCTTTCGTATTTATGATAGCCTTGCAAGGTGGGTTATCCTTATTTTAGAAGTGAGCACACTAAGATTTTGAGAGGTTAAGTGCCGTCTAATAAGTAGCAGAACCTAGATGAGAAGTCAGGTTTCTCTAATCTCAAAGCTCAGGCTTTTCTCCTATAATCTTATCTGTGCCTTGATGTTTTTATTTTTATTTTTTATTTTTGCTTTCAATTTCTGCTGGCTTTCACTTTATCTTAGTTTGAAGTTGTTTTTTTTTTTTAACTTCTTCCTCCTGTAGTGCTTCTCTTGCCCCCCATGTAGCTGGGATCACAACGGCTGGCTGTTTTTTTTTTTTTTTTGTCGTTGTTATAGAGACAGGGTCTCACTCTGGCTCACTCTGCCTCATGCTGGTCTTCCGCTGGTCTCAAACTCAGCTGAGCTCAGGCGATCCACCTGCCTCGGCCTCCCACAGCTCTGGGACAACAGGCGTGAGCTACCATGCCCGGACTGTGCCTTGATGTTAATTTACTTTATTTCATGGCCTGCCAGGGATTTTTCCTCCCTCTCTTCCTTCCTTTCCCCCTTCTCTTTCCCCTTCTCATCCCTTTCCTCCGTTTCTTTTCTTTCCTGTCTCTCTATCTGTCTTTCTTGAGACAGAGTTTCACCTGGTAGAGTGCTGTGGCATCACAGCTCACAGCAACCTCAAACTCTTTTGGGCTCAAGCAATTCTCTTGCCTCAGCCTCCCAAGTAACTGGGACTACAGGTGCCTGCCACAATGCCTGGCTATTTTTAGGGATGAGGTCTCAATCGGGCACAGGCTTGTCTTGAACCTGTGAGCACAGGCAATCCACTCATCTCAGCCTCCCAGAGTGCTAGGATTACATGTGTGAGCCACTGCGCCTGTCCTCAGTATAACATTTTATTCATTAGAGTCAAAATACTGAATGATGACATTTAAAATTATTTTTTATAAGTTGAGCATCAAAAGTCTGAAATCTCAAATGTTCCAGAAACTTTTTGAGCTTTAATATGATGCTCAAAGGAAATCTTCACTGGAGCATTTTGAGTTTCATATTTTAGGATTTGGGATAGTCAGCCGGTACAAGTATTCCAAATTGAAAATATCCCAAATCTGAAACACTAATGGGCCCAAGGATTTTGGATGAGAGATGCTCAACCTCTATATTAAATACATTTTAGAAAGTAGTTTTCCATGTTTTTGTTTTTATACATTTTCACTGAATCTTGTGCCTGGTATACCACAGGTGCTTGACAGTGTTTTTGTTGAATTGACTTAAGTAATGATGAGGTGTGTTGGAATATGTTGTGACAGAGCATTTGTTATAACTACAGTTACAACTAATGTAATAATAAACATGCTTTTTAATTGCTAGAAATAAAAATTGAGATTAGATTCACAGCACACAATAAATCTAATGTTTTCTGTAACATTTGTCATTTGCCAAATATAGTTAAAAACTATAATACATTTAAATGATTATAAAAACATATACTATTTAGAAATAATAATATGAACTTTATAGATTCACCTACCTAAGCTAAAAATTAAAATATTGTCAATACCAATTCGTTTTTTTTTTTTAACAAACATTCTCTCTCTTTCTCTCCAAAATAAAATTTAGATAAGCATCATATAACTAAAGTTATAACAGAAAACTGTGATTTGCTGGAAGATTTTAAAGCCCAAAGTTGTGCGGACTGTATAGAGGTGAGGATAAATAAGATTTACCCATTAAAATTTTTAATATTCAGAGTAAAGTAGTAATAGAGCTGTCCTCTGATAGCATGTAAAGAACTTAACAAAATTGAATGACATGTTTGATGGAAACTTTTTATTTTTATTTTTTATTTT